CCAACCATCCCACCTCCATCCAGCATCCATCCATCATCCATCCATCATCCATCCATCCATCATCCATCCATCATCCATCCATCATCCATCATCCATCCATCATCCATCCATCATCCATCCATCCATCCATCATCCATCCATCCATCCCTTCACCTGCCCAAGCTTTGCTGGCTGCCACACAGTGAGGACAGATGGACATGGTACAGCTGTCCTGTGATACATCACACCAGGAGCTGCTAGAAGATGGCTGTACTGGAATTGTCACTTTTGATGGTACCGAAATGGTTGAGGACACTTGGTCTGTTCACCCTGGAGCCTGAGGTCAGACCCCACTGGGGGCTGCAGCTCCTCCCGAGGGGCAGCTCTGATCTCTGATCTCTGCTCTCTGAGCAGGGACAGCACCCAGGGAAGGGCTGGAGCTGTGCCAGGGCAGGCTCAGGCTGGAGATCAGGGAAAGGTTCTTCCCCCTGAGGGTGCTGGCACTGCCCAGGCTCCCCAGGGAATGGGCACAGCCCCGAGGCTGCCAGAGCTCCAGGAGTGTTTGGACACAGCTCTCAGGGGTGCACAGGGTGGGATTGTTGGGGTGTCTGTGCAGGGCAGGGGTTGGACAGTGAGTCCCTTTCATTTCAGGATATTCCATGATTTTATGATACACAGATAATAAAGATCCTCTCTTTTATCACAGGATTCACAGCTGGCAGAAAACACCTAATATATACAGGAGGGGCATCATGCTACGCTGCATTGTGGTGCAAAGGACTCTGGTAATTTCAGAGATCACCTTTGTTTTTCCACACCAGCACAGCACAGAACCTCAGCATGGTCCCATCAGCCGCTGCTCAGCCTCCACATCCTGCACAGCCCACAGAAAAGATCATTTATGTAAAAATGTGTGGATGCAGTAGGTAGGCCAGGCTCATGTTTATGCACCAAATCCAGCAAAGGCTGGGAAGCTGGGACTGAAGCCAAGGGCAAAGAGCAGGATCTGGACCATACCGCTGTGATTGCTTATCACTCTGCTTGATACTTGGCTTAGCAAAAGCAGGTTTCTCCACTCTCTGAACCTGCCTTCAATTAATGGATTTTGTGCCTGCAACATGAAATAAAAATGCCCAGAGCCTGCCCGATGGCTGAGGCCAGGAGCTGCAGCACTGCTACGGAATAAAGGAGCTTCTGTGACCTTCAAGAACAATTGCTGTTAAGTTGGGACCTCAGGCACTTGGCACTGAATTCAACTCAGTGCAAATGTTAATTTTCTTTCTCCTGCCTCAGCCAAGGTTCTGGACCTCCATTTGAAGTGTGCAGTCACTCAGGGAAATGCTGCACTGCTCTTGCTTGGACCACGAGCAGGTGTGAGGAGCAGCTCTGCAGAGCAGCTCTGCCACCAAGGTTCTTGAGATTACCAAGCCTGTCTTGCTCCTCTTCACTTCTCTGTGGCTTTGGGAGCAGGGGTCACTCTCCAGACAGGAACAAAGCTCACTCCTTCAAACACAGCCCTAAGTACATTCCTGTCACCTCTGCCTCCTCTTCCTCAGAAGTCAGCTGCAAGGAGAGGACAGCCCTGGCCAGGACATCTGATGTGCACAACTGGACACAGACACCCCTGGATCCAACAGCTGGACGTGAGTCTTGCTGGATTCAAAGATCAGTGGGAAGAATTCCCACAAACAACCTGAGACCTAATGACCTGACAGGTTTGGCTGTTTCCACTTGCTGCTCTCCACATTAAAGGAAATTGGTGGATTTGCATTTTCCTTCACAATTCCTAACTTATTCCTTCTCCTCCTGCACAACAGCTACTCAGGTAGCAGTACTCTTGTTCAAGGAGCAAGAATGAAAGTCCAACCAGAATTAGTAGGTTCTTTCCTGACTCATCTCCTGCATTAGTGACTAACAGGGATGCTCTGCAGAGGTTATCTCCTTCCAGGCAAACACAGCAGGGCTCTTTCTCCCATTACAAGGCATCATGAAAGGGGACACAACAGTTTTCTTTTGGAAAGGTCCAATTCAACGCTTCTTCCTTCAGAGATTTTATATTCCTTTTTTTTTTTTTTTTTTTTTTTTTTTTGAGTAGCTGTCAAACAAGACATGTGACAGTGCCCTCAGGTACTCACTACATGCTTAAGGTTTTGTAAAAACTAGTAAAAATGTAGTAGCACCTCAGAAAAGAGATTTTCTGATTTTTTGTCTGTTTGTTCTACTAACAAAAGGCTGCTTTGGTTGTCATGCAGCAAGAACAGGCAGAGCAGAGTCAGCACCACTCTCAAGGACCTGAAACTCTTTTTCAGCTGAACCACAGGTTCCTTCAGCTCGTGTCTCTCAAGAACATCCAACCTCCAGCAGTGCTTCCCCTTCTGCACCACCTTGGCTTCCACGGCTCTGCAGCTCCAGACTGCCTGAACTGGAACTCTCTGCCTGTGTCCATCAGACCCTACAGGCACCTTCCCACATTAACTGCTTTCCAGAGCAGGATGTTTCCAAACTGAGGCCACTAGAGGCCACCACATTGTCTTCTTACTCCATGGGCTGAAGTTGCAGGTTTGCAGTGATCTGCAGAGCTGAAGGACCAACACAAAATGCTCATGCCTGTATTTCTCTTGGAGACCACAATTCTGTAATTACAGGAAAGCCTCTGTGCAGTTAAAGTTTGCTACTTGCTCACTGAACAATGAGTTTGGAAATTAGACATATTCAATCCTTCTCCTCCTGGCTCACACATCCACACTTATTTTCTCCTCTCTCAGAGGACAAGAGCCTTTACAGCAAGAATCCACCCCATCATTGTGTTACTCATTGCAGCAGAAGATGCAGCACAAGCCGATGGTGCTTTCAAAGCTATGTGCTTGGTAGAAACACAAAGCTTCAAACAGAAACAGAGCTGGAACCTCCTCCAGGGTGGCAGCAAGTCATTTCTGTCAGAGCCAGGTGCCAGGAGAGCTCTCTCTCAGGTGGGTCCTTCCAGGCTTGGTCCCACCTGCTGATGTTGAAAGGGAAGGAAAGCACCGGGCAGAGCAAAGGGGACACTCACTCTGTGAACACACAGCGTAATGTGACGCAGCACTGCCAAACTGGGGTGAGGCTTTAGGGGTGTGGAGGCAGCCAGACACTGCCTGGGCTCTGCAGGGCTCCCCTCACAGGCACAACCGTCCTTGAAGCCACGCCACGGGAGCGAGAACGCGCCGGAACACCAGCGGCCATGGCTCGTGACAGGAAGCCATGCTGCACATCCCATCAGGAAGCAAATTCCCCTTTGCTGGAATTATCCTTGGCTGCTGTGGCCTCCCAGTGACATGCTTTGGTAAGGGAGTACAGGAACACAACCACTCTGTGTTTTATCCTGGCCAGTGTGCGTGAGCTCAAAAGCCAGCTTTGTCTTCTTACCCATCCGGAGAGAACCTCAGCGGCTTAGCCTGGGCTGCAGACTAGTCAGAGCACAGGGGGTCAGCACACTGGAACTCAGCGATGCCACAAAAGGTTAGTTTGGGAAGGCTTTAAGGAGAACAGCTTTCACCATTCTCGGATCAAACAGCAGAACAAATCAAACATAGGAGCAATCAGATGAATGAGAACAGGACAGTTTATTAGCATTTCATGTTTGGAGAACAGGGCTGTTAAAGCAAGTTCTGACTGCAGAAAGGAAAATGAGATTCTTCCTATGGACACCTTTACCATCCTCCTCCTGGGTGACAATCCCCAAAGACATGAATACAAAGCATAAGAAATGGAATAGACACAGTGAAGATTATTTCTTACCTTCATTTCCTCCTCCATTTCAGAGAGTTTCCGCTCAAGGGCTCGCTTCTCCTGTTTACAAGGATTCATAACAAACAAGGATTTAGAAGAAAAAATTATAGTATTTTTTTTAAAGAAAAGTAAGAGTCTTGTGTTTCTCTAGCAGCATTCCCTGTATCCCAAGAGTATCCCAAAGGAAGGCAGAGGCTACAACCAGGAGCTGATCAGATGGGACAGGGCAGCTGGCAAACCAGCAGGGATATAAGTTGGGCCTGTATGGGCAGATCACAAGCTCTACTCATACCTCTAAGGAAATTATTGCCCATTTTCAGTGATCCCAGCTCTCAGGAGTTGCTGATGTAATGTGATTTTGAGCTCTGTAGGTGAAGCCATGGATTTACTTACACTTCACTAAAGGTGGCAATGAGAAAAGTCACTGAGCTGCTCAAACAAGAAACAGAACAAGGAAATTCCCTGCCTGGAAATCCTGTTTCTCTCAGATAATCCAGGGCTGCAAAGCTGACTGCTTTCAATGCATTTTGGAAAGTGATGATTAGACTCTGCCATGTGAGTGGTCTCAGCTAAGTCTGTGCCAAGGAGGGGAGATCTGGACTCCTTCAGTGATTTTACCAACATGAAAGGGGTCAAACTGCTCCAGGGACATGCCCTGAGAAGGGGGAAGTGGGAAACATGCACCAAGAAGATTTGCACTCTCTGCCCTGCTCCTCTGCCCTATGCAAAGAGCCATGAGGCCAGGAGAGTGAGGAAAAGGCAGCTTCTGATTGTGCTGTGGATGATGAGTTCTGGGTCACTTTTTGCCCACAGTGTGGTTCATCCAGGGATTCATCATGCAAAATGCATGAGCCATCCTGGAAACAGTTAATGCATCCTCACTGAGAACAGCTGGACATGTTTTTACTTTCTAACTCACAATTTGTGGCTCTTGTGATCCTAATTCAACAGAAGTTATAGAGGATGTTGCCCTGACTTCAACAAGGCCAAGTTTCAAGGTCCTGTCCCTGGGTTGGGGCAATCCTTGGTATGAACCCAGGCTGGGGGGGGATTGATGAAGGGATTGAGAGCAGCCCTTCCAGGATGCTGCTTTGTTCCCCCACCACCCCAAACCAGTCTTTATTTGTAAGGATTGAGAATGTTTTAAAGAATAATGGACCAACAGTCCCTCAGTGTGATACAATCCACTGGTCCTCAGCTGTTCAGAATAAAAGAGAGGAATCAGAACGAAGCTGATGTGCAAAGAGAGCAGCAGAGTCTCAGGCCCTGCAAAGGTCAGAACACATTGTGCAATGCTCCTCAAGGCAAAAATACAACTTATCTTTTAATTAATGCTTCCCTTCTAGAAGTGACTGCCCTGCACAGCAACATGAGGCTCAGGCTGTGACTCAGAAGAAAGCAGAGACACGTACCCTCTTCTCCATCTCCAGCATGCTGGACCGGTCAGAAGTTTTCTCCTGTTTCTGCTTTGGAAATTAAAAATAGAAAGTGATTAAACCCAAGAGCACTCACAGGGTGCTGCACAAAGGCCAAGACAGCACAGATGCTCTTGCCTGGGATGCAACAAGTCGATTTACAAAATTACTTGCTTATTTCTGTCTCCTCTATGGCACCTTCCCTCCCAAAAACACCTTTCCAGGAGCTTCCCTCCCTTTCCCATTCTGGAACAAGTGTTGGTTTGTCATGGCCAGTGCTCAGTTTCTCCAGTCAGGACCTCCATTTTTCCTTACCTGGGTTGCTTTTTCCAACTTTGCTTTGATGTCAGCCAGCTCAAGCTGGGCTTCTTGCAGCTTTGACTTCAGCTTTTGATTTTCAGACAGGGCACTCTCGTATAACTGAAATGCAAAACAAGAGCTCAATTAATCAACCAGGCTGCTCCTGGTTAATTAACCCCATCCTGCCACGTTGCTCTGAGCAGACCCATGCCCTTAGCACTGAGCTGAGGGGTTCACTTTACTCCCACACATCAAGAGATGAGAAGGGAAAACAAAACCAACTTGGATGCTTTACTTAAGTTTTCATAATTCATGAATTAGAAATAAGAAAACAGCTGTTGATTTTTGTAGGGAGTTTGAACACAGTCAAGAGGCCAAAAAAGGGACAGTTTTAATTTAGGTAATTCTTTACTCACAGGATGGGGAGGCCCTGGCACAGGTGCCCAGAGCAGCTGTGGCTGCCCCATCCCTGGAAGTGTCCAGGTGCAGGTTGGACAGGGCTTGGAGCAAACTGGGATAGGGCAAGGTGTCCCTGCCATGGCAGGGGTGGAATGGAGCTTTAATGTCCCTTCCAACCCAAACACTGGATCCTTTGAAACAGAAAATGAACATAAACATCTTCTCTTTCTTTCCACTGATTCTTGGGGCTGCTTTCTGCACAGCAGGTTGGTTCTGCAGTGTGTGCAGTGACAATAAGAAGTTTAAAAGAATCCTACTTTCTTATAGTCCCTGTTGCTCTCCTCCTCTGGCCGGCTGCTGAGGGCGGCGAGCCGGTTCTCCCTGCGGCTGTAGGCACTGGAGCGGCTGGAGGCACGGTCGCTGTAGGACGACTCACTCGTGCTGGGGTTTGTAGCTGCTTCCAACCTGAAACAGGAGGAAAATCCAGCACTGTGGAGCTGTGGTACCTTGAATCAGCCAGCACAGGTTGGGACTGCAGCTGTGCAGACCCAGGGCTCTGGTGGCTGTGGGAGCGCCGTCCGCCCGGCCCTGAGGACTGCTGCCCAAAACCTGGCAAAACCACCACTGCAACAACTGGAAAAACATCCCAGGGTACCAGCCCAGCCTCCCTTGGGCAGTGACTTCCCATGAACCTCTCATCTCCATGGTGGGAACCAGCTCCATTTCTAAGAGGGCACTGAGGTAAATAGTTTGGGGAGTAAAGAACAGAAGCAAACTGGTGCCACATATGAGCTCAGGAAAGGACCAAAGAGCCAGTGCTAGACTGGATTTGAAGCACAGGGAATCCTCAAAGCCATACAAAAACTGCCAATAAATATTACACAGAGAAAAAAGAAAGAAAAAAAGAAAATTCTTACCTGGAAAGTCTCTCATGCTGAAGGAAAAAAAAAAAAAAGAAAGAAAAAGGTAATTAATAATGAGGAGAATCAAATGTTCAATACAAAAACTGCAGGGCTTCCAGGCAGCAGCAATTTCCCACCTCAGATGCCAGAACCCAGCTCATGCCAGGCTACACTGAAATTTCCCAGCCCAAACTGGGAACCTCCAATCTCTGCCTGAGATGAAATGATTCAGCTCCTCTGAAGCATTTATTTTGCTCACCTAAGAAATCCTGAATCTTGCTGTTCAAATCCCCTTTTCCAGAACTGAAATGCCTTCCCTGGAATCCAAACTAATCTATTTTTTTCCCTTTTCCAATGAAGTTATTCTTCCTGCCTATGATCACCGTGCTGTGTGTGTATGTGGGTGAGGGGGATTAACAGACACAGGGATCTCCCAGTGTTTGTGCAGAACTTGAGAAAATCTCAAAGCCTCTTCTCCCCATGGGCAGGCACCGTGACAGAGACACAACAGCAGCTGCAGGAGGGAAGGAGAACACCCTGACACCAGGGTGGTTGAAGCCTGTGCTCTTCTTTCCCCATCAACATCCAAACCTCTGCTGAGCTGTCCTCAGCTGCCTCTGGACATTGAGGGGCTGAGAAGGGAACAGAGCTGGAGCCCCAGGAGCAGCTGAGGGACCTGGGGGGGCTCAGCCTGGAGAAAAGGAGGCTCAGGGGGACCTGGCTCTGGTCCCAGGGAACAAGGGACAGGACACAAGGAAAAGCCTCAGGGGAGGTTCAGATTAGGTACATATTAAGGAAAACTTCCTCCTTGAAAGAGTGCTCAGGCCCTGGCACAGGCTGTCCAGGGCAATGGTGGAGTCCCACTCCCTGGAAAAGTTAAAAAATGTATAGATGTAATATGTGGGACATGGTTTAGTGGTTAACATGGCAAAGCTGGGGGAAACTTTGGGCTCAATGATCTTAGAAGGCTTTTCCAAATTAATAATTCCATGATTCCATGAATATCCTGCTGGATGTGGTAAACCACCATTTCAGTAAAATTTTTTGGATTGAACAGTTCCTTCCTACAATTGCATAAATCCAGTGGTGATGGCATCACTGTCCTGCAGGCCATGCCACACTGACAGTCACCTCCTCCACGAGGTTTCTGTCTGACAGACATTTACTCAAATTCCAGGTACATTCCAACTCTTTATGGTCCCTTGAACTGGGTTGAGCCCAGTATTCCTGTGCTGGTTTATCAATGGCATCACTGTTCTGAGTGAGTACAAACCTCCCACAGGCACTTCCAGCCAATTCCCTTCGCTCTCTTTAACAGAGTCAACACAAAGAACATCACAGAGCAGGTGAGGGCTCAGGCTTTTAGTGCCCTGGCATGCTGCTGCTGCTTGTGCAGTAAATCCAGTGCCAAGGCCTTGCTGGGAATTTGCTGCCTGGCTGGCAACTCTGCTGCTTGAAGACTTCAGAGCACCCTCTCCCACCTGGCACCCAGACAATCCTCTGATGCTGGGCAGGGATCTGGGAGTCCAGCCCATGGAGAGAGGAGTCACCCATTACAGGAGGGTGGACAAGTGACCTGGCCACCTCTCCACTCAAGGCCAGAGGAGCTCAGGGGCAGGTCCCAGAGCATCCTGCCCTGCCCTGCTGGCCAGGACACGGTGACCAATTACCTGCCCTTGGCTGCTGGGGTTTGAATTCATCCCAGCCTAACGTGACCCTCATCCTGCACCCCAGTTCAGGACAGGAGGGTGCCTGGGGGGCAATCAGTGGGTGGCTCTGCAGCCTCTGGCACGCTGTGCTGCGAGCTGTGAGCACCAGAAAAATGAACAGCCAGGACCTGGCACGTGGAGCCTCAATGGACCACACACTCAGACAAAGCTGCTACGTGCAGAGACCAAGAGGACAAGCAAACCCTGCTATGAATTAGCACATTCTCCCTTCAGCTGTGCCCACAGGGCCACCCCCAGCCAGGCTCTTGGGCAGGTCCTAGTGCCAGCCCCACCCTGTAGACATAACCAAAGCTCCAGGAAGCCATCCTGCTGCAGCCATGGGCACACAGCCACAGCAGTGGGTCCAGCCTGGTATTATTTTATTTGCTGTAATAAATCTCTCTCCTCTTTTCATCTTAGAGGTGAGAAACTTTCCAAGGAAGACAGCAGATGCATTTCCACCGTGGATGCTGCACCTCCACAAGTCATGTTGGATACTGTCTGGGAAGCATCTCATGCACCTCAATGCCCAGCAGCTGTCTGATGTTGTGACAGGGACACAGCCCCCCTGTCCAAACAGCCCTGCCTTGGGCCATGCTCTGTCTGAAACACAAAGGCAGCAAGCTGGGACAGTTTCTGTCCAGCTGGACTCTGGCACAGGGCTGTTAGAAAGACAGACCAGAAATCCAACCACACCCTGGGCTCATGCAGGGCAGGGGGGATTCTGCCCCTGTGCCCCACTCAGGTGAGACCCCACCTGCAGAGCTGCCTCCAGCCCTGGCCTTCCAGCACAGGAAGGACGTGGAGCTGCTGGAGAGAGTCCAGGGGAGGCCACGGAGCTGCTCCGAGGGCTGGAGCCTCTCTGCTCTGGAGCCAGGCTGGGAGAGCTGGGGGTGTTCACCTGGACAAAAGAAGGCTCTGAGGGGTCCTTAGAGTCCCCCCCAGTGCCTGAAGGGGCTCCAGGCGAGCTGGAGAGTGACTTTGGACAAGGATCTGGAAGGACAGAACAAGAGGGAATGGTTTCCCATTGCCAGAGGGCAGGGATAGATGGGATAATGGGAAGAAATTCTTCCCTGTGAGGGTGGGGAGGTCCTGGTAGAGATTGCTCAGCTGGTCACAGCTGCCCCTGGATCCCTGGAAGTTTCAGGCTGGACAGGGCTTGGAGCAACTTGGCTATTGCAAGGTGACCCTGCCCATGGCAGAAGGTGGGACTGGATGAGCTTCAATGGTTCCTTCCCACCCAAACCAGTCTGGGATTCCAGGATTCCACAAAGGATTTCCCATTATCAGCCACACACACATTGATCTCTCCATGGTGCTTTGTTAGCTGAGCTTTCAGCATTTGTTTCTTAAACCTCTCAGCGGCCTGGCAGCTCCTTTTGAATCCTGGCCCAATGACCCAACCTTCCCTGAAGAGCTGGAGAAGGGAATTGCAGTGATTAACAAGGCTCTTGTTGAAAGTTATTTGTGCACTTCATGCTAATCCCCTTCAGTGACGACTTTTGCTATTATGACAAATGGCTGGGCAAGCAATCCATCCCTAAGCAAGTCTGAATTCACATCGGCAATCGCACCTGCCAATGGAGTTGTACCGTGCTGGGAAACACCACGTGGCTGGGCAAGGTGACATGGGAACCAGGCAACGAACCCAAGCAGGTCCCTGAGCCACACAGGGCACTTGCAGCAAGAGGAAAAACCACTTTTGTCCTTTTTTTTCCTTCTAAGAAATGAGAATTTCCATACGCAGGGGGAGCAGGGGCATGCTCTCTCAGGAAGGGTGGGGTAAGAAAGGAATCACTTTAGACATACACAGCAAAAAGGGGGAAAATCCCCAGGTTTATTGTATTTGCAACTTTCCTGTGATGGATACTGTGATGGATTACTTCAGACTGTGACTGTCTCTATGTGTTTAAAGAGAAGCAAAGTGCTTTTGAGAGGGGAGGACCCGCATCATTCCTGCTGCTGCCAGCACTGAGCAGAGCCACCCTGGAGTAAGCTGGAATCGTGGAATAACAGCACCATTAAGGTTGGAAAAGCCCTCTAAGAGAAGAATGATGGAGCTGAGGAAGGGTCTGGAGCCCCAGGAGGGGCTGAGGGAGCTGGGAAAGGGGCTCAGCCTGGAGCAAAGGAGGCTCAGGGGGCCCTTGTGGCTCTGCACAAGTCCCTGGCAGGAGGGGACAGCCAGGGGGGTCACCCTCTGCTGCCAGGGAACAGGGACAGGACAAGAAGAAATGGCCTCAGGGGGAGGTTCAGGTTGAATACTGGGGGAAATTTTTTCCCTGAAGGAGTGGTCAGGCCCTGGCACAGCTTCCCAGGGCAGTGGTGGAGTCAACATCCCTGGGAGTGTTTAAAAAAACATGTGAATGGCTCCTGGGACATGGGCTAGCAGTGAACATGGCAGGGGTGGACTCAATGATCTTAGAGGGCTTTTCCAACCTCAGCAACTCTTGTGATTCCACGATTCTATGGAACACTGGATGAGGTGCTTAAGTGAGATATTGTGGGGGCTGAAGAACCAGCCAGCAAAAGGACTGTGGTGCTCCCCTGGAGAGCTTCTCCTTAGGCAAGGCACTTCTTCTCGTGAGAAAGTGTCCTGTCCCTCCCAGAGACCTTCACATGTTAATCCCTTGTGTCCTGTTGGTTTTCTTCCCCCTCACTCCACCCTGTTACCTGTATCCCAGTTTCCCTCTCTTGCCCTATATAAACCCCAGTTTTTCCCCTGTTTTGAGAGAGCTGCTGTCACTGGCTCCCTTTGCTTTTAATAAAGGAATTCCACACAGTGCTCTAGTCCCTCTCTGCCTGAGAGCTGCTGCTGAGCCTGAGCTGACAATCACTCACCGGGCTAGGGACGTGCCTGTGCCCCTGGGCTGTCTTTTTAAAGATGCTTCTTCAGGGAGGTGGCAGCAGCCCTGCCATCCACCAAGATATCCCTGCTGTTTGTTCAAAGAGAGACAAACATCTTCAGGCCACTGGGATGTCACGCTAGTGACAGCAGTGTCAGCAGAAAACAGCTTCTTTCCAGCTCAGTTCTGCCCTGTGTTTGAGCACACCACCTTTGGAACCCTCTCCATGTGCTTCCAGCTGCACCTGCTCCATCAGCACAGCCCCTGCTGGCCCTGCCTGCCCTCTCTAACAGCCACCAAATATTCACTGGAATTGCAGCAGCACTGGCTGCCTCCCTGCACTGCCCATGGAACTCAGGAAGGAGGTCATTTGCTCAGAGATGCCACCCCAGGGCTGCAAATTCCACGGTCAGAGTGAGAAGGTGAAGGACAAAACTCTTCTTCCTTCATTGCTGGGAAGAGAAGTTGGGAATGAACAGA